TTTGTTTAATTTAAGGTGATGTATTTCACTTTGGAGGATGCGGTTGGTCGATGAGCGGTGCAAAGGCAATACGCTGGTCATCTGCCGATATTTCATGGATCACAAAAATGGATTCTCTGTTGACAAAAATTTTTGGTGAAGATTTTCTGAGGTACAAATGTGATAAACTTACGAAAGTGATGGAAATTGTACCTGAGAGCCTGYCATCGTTTGTGTATAACCATGAAGAATGGGAAAAAGAATATAAAACCAGTCTGGATGTATCAAACGTCAGCAAATCACTATCCAGTAAAGTGAACCAACACGCTGAGGWTAGCAAATCGCAACCAATTACAAAAGTGGTTGGCAATTCACAATCTTCCAACAAACAACTGTTGACGGCAAACGTTTCAACCATACTSGAGCCTGACCTCAGAAGTATGAAGAAAAATAACCTCACCAGGAGACAGATATCTCAAATTCAGCTCCCAAAAGTAGTCCAGTTGTCTCATTTAGATCTTGAAGTAGTAAAATCTCCTGTGAGGTTTAGTAATCCGTTTTTGATAGCTGCAAGACCCTCAAGAGGCGCAATAAACAAATGTAAAAACTTGCTACAGGTTTTTAAAATGAAATCAATAGGTTCTGCAATTCTAATTGACTCGGATGACGACGAGGATGAATACGATACAGATGACATAGGAATTCAAGTTGGTGGTCTGGGTGTCTTCAGCCGATATGCCATTGATATCTGGGAAAAGGCTATTGAGGCCTCAATAATATCTCATGAGGTTGAAGAGGAATTGAACTGGCTTGGAAAAAGTTATGGCATCTTAACACCTGAGGAAGTAATCTCCATTGCGTCTATGCTGTTAGACCATAAGCCAAACGATACGATTTTATCAGTCGGGGACATTATCGTTGAAGCCCAGGACTTATCAAAATTGGTTGGAGAGAGATATTTGAATGGTTTCGTGATTGATATGGCTTGTTTAATGATCAAGGAAAGTTCGAAGCAGAAAAACTCTCTCTTCCTACCAACGATTTTTCAGCACTGGACAASAAGTGTCATCAAGAACAAAGTCAGAAAGTACCTCTTCAATCCTGACGAGTTGTCTGAACTGGACTGGATTATGACACCACTTCACTTGTCAGAGTCACACTGGGGACTTCTTGTTGTAAACATCAAGTCTAAACATGTTTATTATGACGACAGCTTACACTGGAAGCCACCCTCCAATATTGTTTGCATCACAACGAAACTTCTTCAGGCATTGCAAGATGTAGCATATAACAAAGAAAATGAATTTGACCCTTCTTTTTGGGATTTCTCAAATGTAACTGCGTTCGGAATGCCAACTCAACCTGCAAGTAGCGGAGGTTGTGGGATGGGTGTTATCATGTCTGTAAGCACAATAATGAATGGCCCTAAAGAAAATCTTCCAGTTTTCAACTGGAAATTTGATGACATGCACATCCATCGACGTCTACTATTAAAACAGTTCTTGGAGTGGAGAATAACACAGGGGCGAATAAAGTTTCCCTAATTTACTAAAACCTGGATGACATTGACGTGAAGGTTTTTCTGTTACCTGACTACAAAATGGGATTCGATATTGTTTTATGATATC